AAAACTAGCCCTATGAGCAAACCGGAAGTCTGTTTCCGAACTTCTGATTTGCCCGTAGGACTGGTTTTTGATCTCCCGAGGCTTCAGGGAAGCTCCTGAAGCTTCTGGAGGGCCTCTGGTGGGGGGGAGGCTTTTTTCGCCCTCCCCCAGCTCCTATAAAGCCTCTGGAGCCTGGGGAGGGAGAAAAAAGCATGCAAAAAATGGGGGGAGCGCCTGTCATGTGTGCATGCGCGCTGGGGGTGTGGCACATTGCATAATGGGTTTGGCACACCTGCGCATGACCCCCTGCTCTTCCCCTGCTTTTGGCATGAGAGCCAAAAAAGGTTTGCCATCACTGACCTATAACATGTTCAGCAACAAATAGATTTAGAATTTGAAATATTGTATTGAACTTTAAACTAACCTTTTTTTAATAGAGTTGGAAGGGACCTTGGAGGTCTTTTAGTCCAACCCCCTACTTAGGCAGGAAACCCTACAACACTTCAGACAAATGGTTATCCAATATTGTCTTAAAAACTTCCAGTGTTGGAACATTCACAACTTCTGGAGGCAAGCTGTTCCACTGATTAATTTCTAGCAAAACTACTTCAGAAATCTCTTTGATTGATATTGGTTTTATTTCCTGGAATATTTTACTTTAAAACCCAATTTTGTATATTTTTTTGATTTCTACTGCCATCTTTTTGGTTTTGTGTATTTTTAATTTTGGCAAATGCATGCAATAAATTTGTTATGTATGAGAATTGCAGTAGGGCTTATGCTCTTCCCATTATTAGTATACACTGCACCATAAAAGTGATGTTCTTTATGATTCATACAGATTATTGTATGATTCATACATGCTAAATTTAGAGAAAATTAGGAATAAATTATGTTTTGTAATTTATTTTGTAAATAACACTTTTCTACTATCTAAATCCATATTAGAGAAAAGCATTCATTAATTCAGAAGGCCTTACCTATTTTGTTTTGTTCTACTACTGTCTTTTGATCAGTCCAACCAACCAAGCTGGTTTTGTCTGTCCAGGTCTTTTCTTTGGTGCTTTGCCTTAAGCGCCAAATCTTGATAGTGTTGTCATCTGAACAGGTGGAAATCTGCAAAATGGCATGACAAATATTGCAGATTGAAATACGGAATATAGAAGATTAGAGTGGGCAAATTATTGGCTGTATATGGCTCTTATTATTCAATTTACAGTACCCACACTGGATGAAACTGGTATTACTTCTAAGGAACACTCCGTAGTCATCAGTATCACCCATTAATGAAATTAATAGAATCAATATTGCTAAATAATTTTTTTCTTAAGGTTTGTCCATATTTGCAGGATGCCTCATGTATCTTATATACAGAGGGAATGCAGGCCTCAGCCTAGGAAAAAAGCAATCAGCCATACTGCATTTACTTAGGAAGCCCTATCAAACTCAGTGGTCTTACTTCTGATCAGAGAACCATTTTATTACATTATATTTTACAATACAGCAAGAACTGATTTCTATATACGTTTAACCCGCATGATAAAAAGGAGTAGGAGAAGTCATTTGAGAACCAAAGATTTCTAGGGAAAACATGAAGATATGTGTAAAGAAATAGAAAGAAAAAATGTTTGGAATAAAGAACCTTTAAAAATAGCCATCCATGTTTTAAAAACAAGAGAAAATAGTCACCTTTACTTTTGCAAAAAGGGAAAAATGGAATAGCACTAAAAAAAAAATGACAAAACAGCAGGAACAAACCTTAGTGAAATCAGATGGGCACCAGGCAACCGAAGTGACCTCTTGCAGGTGGCCATGAAGTACCATTGGAGGAAATTGTGATTCAGATACCTACATAGAAACAAGAATTTAAAAAAAATATCAGGAAAGATTATTGCTTATTTATGACTAGCATAAGGGACACAATTCAAAGGTAGGACACTAGAGCTTCTAGACATCTAGCCATCAATTTCACCCAGTGGAGAATTCTCATTACTCTCTGGCTTTTCACTACAGAAACCATCCCTAGCAGATACCCAAATTGGCTGGATCCCTCCAGTCATTCTTAGCTGTAAACTATAGTGCAATATATCTAGACAATTCAGGTTAGAGAGCAGATGCAAGTTATCAAAGCAGAGCTTCTATCATGTATTGTTTGTTAAAGGACAAAAGGAAATAGAGAAACCAAACACATCCTGAAGAAATGTATAAACATTGTAGCTACATCTGTAAGCTAAATTCTATATTTAAAATATGCAAAAGCTAAGCCTAGATTATGGGTAAAAGTAAGATTAATGCTCTAAAGTCCACATTTTGAACATTTTTTTCATCCAGTGTTAATAATTTTTCCTATTCTTCATTGTAAGGTAAGTTGATGAATTATGCAGCTGAACCTCTACTTCCAGTCATTAGTATTAGGGTTCAAGTATTCTGATTCGTAAATTTGTGATTCATTTTTTCAAATTCTCAGCATAATTTGGTAGAACAATTGAGTTCTATACCAGGCTCAACAGTATTGCTTATGAGAGGGATCTAGGTGTCATCCTGGACCGCTGCTTAAGTATGGTCAGCAGTGTGCTGTAACTGCCAAGAGGTCAATACAGTCCTAAGCAGCATCAACACAGGGATAGCATCAAGATCATGGGAACTGATAGTATTACTCTTTACTGCAGTAGTGAGGCTGCACTTCAAATACTGCTTTCTTCCGCCAAGATCTGACAGCCTCTACCGTTCTATCCTTCCACTTAAAATCTACCCCCCCCCCTCCACCTGGGATAGGGTGAAGTCAGGACTGGACAAGAATGTGAAAGCATCAGAGGTATGGCCATGATTTTCCTGTTTTTAGTTTTATTGCTGTTAGTTTTACAATATATATTTTTATTGGTTGCAAGTTATCCAGAGCTGTTTTTTTAAAATAGGCAGATATATAAATGTTTTAAGTAAACAAATTGCATAACTCAAAAATTATGTAGATGTTAGCATGAAACAGTTCATGCTTCATATTTTGCCCTGAATGTTTATACTTTTGAGAATTCTACCCTTTTCAGGAAAATGTTTTAAAGAGGCAACTTTGTGGTAAGAAGGAATATGCAAACATTGGTAACTAGGTGGTAATGAAACAATCCTAGAGCCATTTAAATTTTAATATTTGATGTTAATAATGATCTTAATATTCAAGATGCCTACGAATCACAAATGTTGAGAGAGCAATTTGTCAGGTTATTACAAAATGTTTAAGGAACAGTCAGCTAGGCTTCCTGACTACTAAGTCAACAGAATCAAATGCAAAACAAAAGGAGGTTGCTCTAAAATTAAAGAACATACCCACTCCTTGTTTAAATGAGTTTTGTCATATTGGATTATTTAACAATCTAATTTTATATAAACCATTTAATTTTGATTATTTTATACTAGATGGGTTAACCTGAAATACCCTAATGTGTGTCACTGATGAGGAAATTACACTGAAACATATGCATCTCTCCGCAGAAAGTTTGGCATGGAAACTAAGTTTCTGAGCTGCCAGCTGATACTGGCAAATGTTACTAAAAATTCCGACTATCATAATAAAATCTTAACTTCTGAAAATCAAGGATCATGGTGATAGGGGATATGAAAGTAACCTAATTGTGACACACTTTATAAACCTTGGGAAATTATTAGCTTAAAAAAATTAAAACAATTATGACTATTAAACTTTGATTAATGTATAGACTCTTGTTAAATATAAAGCAAGAACTTTCAGTTTGTTGTAGTTGCTGAAAAACAGATCTGAAAAGAGATTTTTAAAAGCTTATTAAAACCAGATTAAGATCAGCAACTAGAAATACAGAGAAGATAGAGGCAGGAACCTAGCTCTGCTTTATATCTGGACTTGTATTCAGGTTTGACAGCTGTGTACTTTAGTATACTGGAAACATGGCTCAATGAATCTAATTATCTTCCCTCTGTGCCTACATATTCATCTTTCTTGCATAAAGTGGACACAGAAATAACATAGCAATGTTGTAGTCAGAGTCAACACTGCTTACCTTCCAGATATAGGCACATTGGTCACTTGAACCACTGATTAAGAACTGGTTATCTGGGCTAATGCTGGATTTGACATAGAAACTGGAATTTTGATGTCCACTGAAAACTGACACTGCAATTGAACAAAAAAACAAAGAAAAACAATCATATACAACTGAGAGCTGAATTTGTGGATAAATCCTTTACATCACATAATATTTTATATAGAGAAGGCTCTAAACCATTTAGTACCATTTCTCTCACAAGCAGAATAATCAAGGTTTCATTGCCAATAACTATTTGTATACATTGCATAATTACCAAAAAGATAATAATTAAGAGACTTTTTCAACTCAGGCAATTTTCTTAAACAGCTAGGATCAGAAGCTAAGATATTTGCAAGAACAAACATTGAATACTTACAATCAAAGGAAAAGGAGCAGGGAAGGCAAATTTTACTTAGTGCAGCAAAATAAAACCTGCCACTGGAGATGTGCAAAATGTTTCAAGTATCAATTGTATGAAACTATTTTAAGTTTGAATTTAGTGTTCAATCTTGAAATGACCACTTTTGTGCTAGAACACATCTGTAAACAGTATCACTGTACCCTTGCTCCTGAATATAACAAATATTCAACGAGTTCCTGTGTGGAATCCTGTGCTAACTTCTAAAATGTTGCCAAAAAAAGGACCCATTAGGCATTAAAGATTTCCAGAGCACTTAAAAAAACATTCTCACTTATTTCTTTCTTCAGGGAATGTAAGTTTTGAACTGTTTATCTCTAAAGTTAATGGGAATGGTGGATTGTTTACAACTTTTACATTTGGCGTTTTTGAGGTAGACACTAAAGTTTTGGTATCCAGTGGGGAAATTGCTGCTTTTCTCATTTCCTGAAACCGGCATCTTATTTCTTAAGAAGGATGTGCAGTGACATAGAGATATGGGTTACTTGGCTATTTTTAAACAACTTTAAACAGCTTTAAAACTAAAGCCCCAAAGAACACTGAGTTGTCACTAGCAAAGGGAGTTGTGTGCAATGGACACTCTGTAATGGAGAGTGGGATGTCAGATTCCTACACTCGTATTGAAAAGAAAATCTGTTATGGTATTCAGATGTAGATGGATGGATGGATGCTTATGGATGTAAATATTCTTCAACATCGTGCTGTCTAAACATGGCTTCAAACCATGTTATTTCAAGTCTGCATCAGAATTGCTACCAGTAATGGAAACTAAGAATTGATCCAATAGCTCTGGAGATTAATTGGCCACTAATTCTACCATTTTCTCAGCACACAAATTCAGCAGAATATTTTCCTATTGTTTTATAGCACCGAGAATTGCCCATTTGTCTTTTCTAAAGGAACCATAAGAAATATGTTTGATCTGCCTTCTTGTTGTCATCTGTCAGAGCAATTAGCATGTTGCTTTGTTCTGTTTCAGGTTGAGCACACAGAGTAGGATAAGGAAGTATTTTCAAGTTTGCAAACATTTTCAGGCTTTAGCAGGCAGAGTGTTGGCATGTGCAATTGCTCACACACCTTAGCAGTGCTAAACAGGAAATCAAAGCCTTGCCTGTAAGAGTCCAAAGTCAAATCAGAGCATGGGTAAAGTATAAGTCCAGAAGCAGTTGAAAGGTCTAGGCATCAGGATAGTCAGCCAATTCTGGAACCAAAAAATTGAGATTTGGGTGGCACAGGGGATTTAAAGTCATGAAAATATAGAACATTTTAAGCAGTTGCTTCCTATGGAAAAACCAACTGCTGACAGTTGCAGTAATATAGGCTCAATTAAGGCTATTGCTAGTTTGTTTCTCAATGAGTTGATCAGAATTCTTCTGAGAGCATGCCATTCTTAGTTCTCTAGAGCAGTGTTTCTCAACCTTGACAACTTGATGTCCACAGGACTTCAAGTTGTCAAGGTTGAGAAACACTGCTCTAGAGTTTGTAACATGTGCTCAGGGATAGCACTGCTTGGAATTGGCACCTCTGTCAATTGAGTCATACTGATTCTCCCAAATGATTATTGGCAAGGTTGTCAGCAGGTAGTTAATTGCTCTCCAATTCTTCAGGCTGACATTTATCAAGTCAAGGCTCTTCTGTGTTTAATCCCCTGACTTGAAAGAGATCATGACAGTCAGGATAGGTAGATCCAAGTTAATTTTTGTCTCTCTTGTGTCTGGGTCTTGTAATCCAAAACAATCTTCTTCTAGTAGGAGCAGAACCAAGAAATGAACTTGACTATTTAGAGCAGCTTTCTTTATTCTGGTATCTGCTAGGTGTATCAAGGCTAAATTACAACATAAGCATTAGAAATCTTTATAGATGCTAGCAAAAATTAAAACCAGTTTTTCAATACTGCATGAATTTATTTTCTTTCTGTTTGGTAGCCTTCCATTACAAACACTCAAATAAATAAAAACGGATATAAATATCTTCCTTATGTGATTTTTCCCATTTTCTCAAAATCTAAGTCCTTATCAGTGATACTTCCATAGCAGAAAAAAGAAAAAAAAATCCTACATTTTCAAAATATGTTAATTGTGGAATTGCAGCAATTAAAATTTTGTAGATTTTATTGATCTATCCTTCAAAAAAACCAATTTATCAAAATTGACTGAACCTTCCAACTCTTGCAGAATTACAGAATATAGCATAAAGGTAGATGGTTGGAACATAGACAATTTTTCATGGACAGTTCATTTTAGTTCCATTTCTTCCCAAAAAGGAGGAAAGAGCAACGAACACTTAATAACACCCACTATTCCAAACATATTTAAGTCAGTCTTTCAATATTTGCTGTTTTCTTGTGGCCTGACAGGTAAGTTTGCAGACTCTGAAGATGATAAATAAATAATGCTTGCTTGAGATAAGCACAATTAACATAGGAATTCACTGCCATATGATATAATGGTTCCACTCTGGATTAATGTAAAAGGCCGCTAATGATACTAAGAATACAGAGAAAAGATATACAGGTAGTCCTCAGACAACTGAGCTTGTTTGTCTAAAGGAAAAGAGAGAATGGAAACATCTGTAAGGGTTATAAACTTTCATACTGTGATTAATTGAAGCTGTCCTGATAGATATGTATATAAAGTATAATTCACTACATACTGCAATTCTATGGACACTCAGCTGGCAATAGCCATATCAAATATATGGGACTACCTTTCCTAGAAATGCCAGAGATATAGTAAGTGCATCAGCCATAGTTTTCTAAACCTATTAAGATAACCTGTATCACAAAATATTAGTTCTTACCTGGATTATTCTTCAGACCTGGCATACAGAACATGTATATATTATCATCAGTGCAATTAGCAAATAGATTGGTACCAGTGGAATCCAAAATAAGACTGGAATATCCTAGAATACAAAAGATTCTGTTGTCAGACTTCCCTCCTTAAAGGCTGGATAAGAAACAGCTAATCCCAGCAGCAGAAATCTGATTATTAGTATTTTTTGGAAGATTAAACATAAAAATTCCAGCAAGTGCTTTCAAATGACATTAAGGTACAAACAGTGTATGGTGGTGAAACTCATCTACGTTTTAAGTTCTTTCAATACAAAGAGGAGGCTTGTCTTTTTTGTTAAGGTGGAATAGCATGAATTTTTTCATTATTTTGATAAAGATGAGTCTTTTTATAACTAGGGAAATTGACCTCTTATGCTTATTTAGTTAGTCTGTGGGTTTTGATAAAAGGAATAAAGATATTTTTAAAAATATTTTAGCACATCCCATATTCCAGCGTAAAAACATTTCTATAATAGATTTGTGGAAATCAGATTCTATTTTTTTTCCATTCAATTGAGATTGTTTTTCAGAGACTGCCTGAGCAAATCCCTGTAATTTTCTTGGCAAAGTTTTTTAGAAGTAGTTTGCCATTGCCTACTTCCTAGGGCTGAGAGAGTGACTAGCTTAAGGTCATCCAGCTGGCTGTGTCTAAGGTGGACTAGAACTATCAATCTCCCAGTTTCTAGTCTGCCGCCTTAAACCACTACACCACACTGGCTCCATGTAAATAAGATAGAAAATATAAAAAAATAGGAAGAAGTATCTAAAAAGTGCTTCAAACCACTTCTTAAAAATTAAAACCCCAGGGAAATGGAAAACTTTGCTTCGCATCAGGGGGAAAAGCTATCTGAAAAGCATTCCCTAAGAGAAAATTGCAAAATCCTCTCCTCAGTTCTGCCTACATCAAGTCAGAGGAAGAAGCAGAGCACCGAGAAGACCTACACATACAGGCAGGCTCTTATTATTCAGTCCTGATTAACATCATAGCAAGTCATATTTACAATATTTTATATAATGGTTTTGACTATGACATTAGGTCACTCACCAACAGAATTTCTGCTTTTTTTTGTTTGAAATTCAGTCCAGCTGCATTCATCTAGTTCCTTAGTAATGCTGACACTAATCTAGCATGGCAACTGCTACCATTAAATCAGCTGTAAAAGAGCTGGGGACTTTCCCCCGCATTAAAGGCGGCGGTGGTGAGACCCCTCCTGAAGAAACCATCTTTGGATCCAGCCGCCCTAAACAACTATCGTCCAGTCTCCAAGCTCACCTTTGTGTGGAAGGTTGTTGAGAAGGTGGTGGCCTTTCAGCTCCAGCGGTCCTTGGAGGAAACCAATTATCTAGATCCCTTCCAGTCAGGTTTTAGGC